AAACAAAGCGCTACCAGCATCACAGGCCTGCCGTATACAAAAAAGATGACCCAAGAAGTCAGCGCAGAACTATTAACTACCATTTCTGTGTGTGAGGGCTCAAGTAGGTAGTGACTACCTACAGATAATTGTTAGACTGAACAAAAATCAACTAATAATTGCCTCAAATGAGGCTCTTCCTTTTTGGAGTAGGTTCTAAGTGTTGTAGGAGCTTATGGTGGAGAAACCTGGTGCCTGCATGAGAGATCAGAGCGATGAGAGGCAGTAGAGGTACTGCAGGCATGTGCACTTTTATCACGTCAATCCCAGGTCTCCCCCACCCACTGGACTTTCTTTTTGGGTGGAGGGAGAGGGAGGAGAGGAAGTTGAAAAGAAGTTAGAAGAGTGTCACGCAGTACCATGGCTCAACGACGCTATTGAATGCATTTTCCATCGGCCAGTGGTGGGTAGGTCGTAGAGGGTCATATAATCGTCTGTGTGTGTGGGGGGGGGGGCAGGGGTCATACTCATGGCAGAAGGGGATGGAAAGAGGAGTGTTCATAGTCCCCTCAACACGTGGTCCCTCTAGTCCCTAGCGCATTTGATTCAGGCTGCAAAATTTCCGAGGGGCGGGGCAGGGGGAGGGGGATGTAATTGTCCTCTCAGCTTAAGCTGTAGAATATGCCTTCAAGATTCAGTGCTGGCTATAAAGAGCTTCATGAGCACTACTGTAATTGCTTTGCCATTGTGTGATCGAGCTCAACACGACCGGCTCTCGTTGTTTGTTCTAGGCAGAATACATGACATTGTGAAACGATTTTGGTGTTATGAAAAAGAATAAATTATCGATTCAGTCGAATTTCAATCATGCATTGTAAAGTTCAAGAGCGTGGATGGTTCAAGTCCAGATCTGAATTTTAGACGAATCAAACGTGGAGATTTTTATAAGGGTAATTTTTATCATATTTCTAGGTATGGATATGTTGGAGGACCAGGACCGATGGGTGGAGCTCCCCTCATGTCTCCCACGGCCAACGTTCCACCTCCGTTTGGTACACATCCGATGCGACAGTTTCATCAGCCGGGCATGCCGAAACCGTGTGCCATGCGACCTAGAATGCTACAACACATGGGTGGTATGATGCCGATGAACGGTCAGATGATGCCAAATCAGCAGCAACCGCCGACTACCCCGAATCACCAGATGCCAGCAACAGCAGCAACAGCAGCAGCAACAACAACAACAGCAACAACAACAACAGCAACAGCAGCAGCAGCAACCAACAACAACAAATGCAGCAACAAATGCAGCAACAGCAGCAAATGCAGCAACAACAGCAACTGCAGCAGCAGCAGCAACAGCAGCAAATGCAACAGCAGCAGCAACAGCAACAACTCGCTATTGCACAACAAGGAATTCGTCAGCAAGAGAGGCCCTGAGATAAGATGAGAGCAAGAGGCCAACAAAGATCAAACAAATTCAACACGAGTCGTCGGCATACATCCATGCATCAGGTGGGCTGAGCCAATGCAAGTCGAACAGGCCAAGCCGATCGAACAGGTTTGGCTAGATCGTCTTCCGCTATACATTTGGCTGTAGAAAGAAAAGATTGAGCTTTTTGTCGGCAACCAGTACTTTGAAAAGGGCATGGATTTATGGGTTCGCTCGAGTGGTACCAATGTTTTCATCTTGTGCGACATGTTTAAGTTTTTGTCAGTTGTCCTCAGTAGATTGTCTCGGCCCAGCGAGAACGGAGAACTGTGACGAAATTTCTAGTGGGTCACATGATAAGGGAGAAATTTTCGAATGTGGTGGTGCACAAAATATTAGCGCACTGGGAGGAGGTTAGACTGGTGCACATGATTGCCCTATTTCTATAATGTTTGATGCTTGGTCGCACTCACATGTTACATAGACAGTATTGACTCAACCGTGGTAGCTAGAAAATATGACAAAGCTCCCTTAGATGGCAACTGTGAGCATATGGGCATAAGTTTTTCAGTCCCGGTGCTGTATCCAGAGAATTCTATGCGTTTTGAAGGAAGGTTATGTAATGCAAGTGACTTCGCGCGCTAAAGTCTGAATAGAACCTGAAGAAGTAAACCATGTCTGTAGTGTCTACAAGTCGCCTGAGTAATAGCATTCAGCGAAATAGACTAAAACACTGACTTGTACATCGGTTGGCCTGCAAGTCATTGTATAGGCCAAATCGCATTCAAATGCCGCTACGATTAGAATAGGAATAGAACGTGTGGCGCATCCCAAAAGTGCCGAGTGGTTTATCTTTCATCCGTATTTAGTCCATAGCCTCCAAAATCACTTTGTGCCATGCTACTCACCAAGCACCTAATTGATAACACATGGCAAATGACAGTATTTGTCCGCTGTATCGGCAATGAAATGGAACCTTCCGCTACTCCAGTGCTGGCGCGCAGCGCCCTCCAGCCTTGCTTCTGTATTGCTGTCTCGGCCCACCGAGAACGGAGAACTGTGACGAAATTTCTAGTGGGTCACATGATAAGGGAGAAATTTTCGAATGTGGTGGTGGACAAAATATTAGTCGCACTGGGAGGGAGGGTTTAGACTGGTGTCACATTGATTGCCCTTTTTCTATATGTTTGATCTTTCTCACTCACATTGTTCATCGACAGTTTGACTTCATACCGGTGGTAGCTAGAAATATGACAAGGCTCCCTTAAATGGTGCAACTGTGTAGCCTATTGTGCATATTTTTCAGTCCCGCTGTATGCAGAGAATTCTATGTCGTTTCTTTAGAGGAAGGTGATGTAGTGGCAAGTGACTTTCCGCGCGCGTAAAGTCGTGGAATCGAACCTGGACGAAGTAAACCATTCTGTAGTTTCCTCACAAGTTCGACTGATTAATAGCATTCGCTTGAAATAACTAAAACACTGACTTGTACATCGGCTGGCCCCCGCAAGTCATTGTATAGGCCACATCGCATTCAAATGCCACTACGATTCGGAATAGGAAGTAGAATGCGTGGCGCATCCCAAAAGTGCCGAGTGGTTTATCTTTTATCCGTATTTAGTTTCCCATCCTGCAAAGTGCACTTTGTGCCATTGCTCTCACACTAGCGAAATTATACACACAACTAAAAATTGAACCTTTCCTTACCAGGTGCTCGGCGTCGCAGCGCCCTCCAGCCATGGTGCTTATTATTGTGTCCCCAGTTTTATAATACGTATTAAAGACCATCTTACGCGGGGGTTGAAGCTTAGACCCTGCCCTTTTCCAAATGTAGGCATTAACTGGAGTGGCAGAAGTGGGGCAGTGGCAAGCGGCTGCGCTTACAGCGCGCTTGGTAAGAGAATCAGATCCTGGCTTGTACGCCGTCCGGCTAACTAATTTTTCCGTCTCTAATGACTTCCAATAGGTTCTCGTCTCGTAGGATAAAATATACTGATTCATTCAGCGGCAGGTCCCTGCAAGTCACTTTATAAACATATAATCGCATTCAAGATGGCACTACGCAGCTGTAGAAGCAGAATGCGTGGCGCATCCAGGAAAGCGTATTGATCAACGCCTAATGCATCCCAGGACAATTTCGCCCAGATGAGCATCTATTTAACTGTAGAGGCTTATTGTTATTAGTCCTGTGTGAGATTTGACCCAGCGCTTGAACCAGGGTCAACCGTTACGTTGGACCGATATTGGAGCGACGTTGGACCGATGTTGACCGCTCTCCGCGCCGGCATTCACTCTCGCCACCCGCGAGCCGTCTGTGTCTCCGTGCGTACGTTCACTCTCGGCATTACTCTCGTCGTCGCGTTGGACTTTGTCCAACGGACGGTTGACCCTGGCTTGAACCCTGGGGTGGAAATGGTGTAGTGGCAAGTGGCGCGCTTACCACGCGAGCGGTCCGGGGATCAAATCCTGGGTCGTGAGTCGCCCGGGCCAACCAAGCCTTCCATCCCTCCGGGGTCGGTTAATTGGTACCAGACTTGTCTGGGAGGATAAAAACACTGACTTGTACATCGGCTGGCCCCCGCAAGTCATTGTATAGGCCACATCGCATTCAAACGCCACTACGAATGTACAAATGGAAGTAGAATGCGTGCCGCATCCCAAAAAGGGATTGATCAACGGCAAATGCTTTATCCTTTATTTTTTATTTGAATCCCAGACCATCCGCGTGGTAATACAGTAGTAGGCATGTAGTAGGCTCTGGCCGGTGTACCCCGAAAATGAGAACGAAGTCCGAATAGCTCATTTTTTCTAATATGTTCAATTATGGACTGAATTAGTTTTTCTGGAGCGAGTCACAGTTTGAACTATGCGCTGCCACGCTGCGGAGGCGTCTCGTGGACCGCCGGCTTCGACTCCGCTGTGTTGTAATCGGCTTCTTCCGAATAAAAGGCGGCGTTGTTGCTGGAAGCTTATGTGCTCCTTCCGTTTTATTCGAACTGTCAAATTCTTGGAGATTGAGGCCAGCAAAGTCCTCAGTTAGGCCTCCCTTCATTTGCTCAGCTACCATTCCCCATACAAAAACACTTATGCATACCTTCCTCCTTAGGCTCTAAATATGTATATGAGGAACCTTTATTGCAAAAATTTATATTTGACTCTTATTTGGTTAGGATAACTCTACCTGGATTGGTGAATGTTGACTACACTGTAATCACTCTACATCTTTTAACATCTTACCCGGGACACTTTTGGACATCATTTTTTTGTGAACCACACACGCTGACTAGTGTATGTACTGCATTATAATTGGTTGAGTAGCTAACCTAAGGTGACTCGTTTGAGTGAAATTGGAGATTTATCTCTGCTCAAGAGACTGTGAGCCGTTTTAGTCACAGAATGGCTCGCTCTCAATGGGAACTAAGGACTAAAAAACTTGTAAATTTGTAGTTTAACTTCGTAGTATAGCTTAATTTGCGGAGTTGCTACCCCACTGTGCGTTCTCCTACTTCATTTGAGGGTGCTGCTCAGGTTTTTTCTTTCTTGATGTCGGCTAGTTCCTTGAAAATCTGCCACGACAGATAACACCGTGTATAACCTGTTGGATACCAGAGGGATACCTATGCACCCCACTATTTGAAGAAATTCTCTGGCACATGGGTACCCTTTGAGTTAAATCAGTATTTAAATAAAATATTCTGTTTAGTGCGCTTTTATTATATTCATTCTGATTAAAAAATTGTGTTTGGATCTTAATGCTCTTGCCTGCACCTTCACCTTTTTTTTAGTTTTATTTGAAGGGGTAGTATTTCAAAAAGTCGCTTATTCTTCGTTTTTGTAGCTTTTAAAGGCGGAGTTGAAGGAGTAAAAGTCACGTATCCTTTGATCTGATGAAAATTTGCACATTTGTAAATTTTAGTTGGTTCGAATGGACGCCCTTCTCCTAAAAACGTCATCAAATTACAAAATGTTGTCCCACTGGTCGTCCAGGGGTCAATTAACACAACACTGATCTTACGACGTTATTGATTAGTCTCAAAAATCAATTTGTTGTTCGTTTTGATTTTGAATTCGCGAGTAATGGCTAAGAAGGTAGTTTTTTTTTGAGTAAAGCCAAGATAAATATTGTTCTGACTAGCAACAATCCTCCAATAAAAAACCTGTCCGGATTCGATATTGTGGGAGGGAATAGAGTTGATTGATTTTGAAGACCCGCTCTGATTTAGGGGTGTTTATCCGTCAAATGCAATGAGGCCTCCGTCCAACGGTAGTGGCCATCCGAAATCCGATTCATCACCGGCCAGTATGCAACAGCCATCGAGTGATCAGGTTTGGCAACTCCATAACGCTCTCTGCTACTACTTGTGGTTTCTGTTTTTCGAAGCGTCGCTAAGTTCTGGTCATTTAAGATTTCGATGAACTCTGGAATGTCGGCTGGAACGGCTATGAGCCCGTCGTGTTCAGTTTTTGGAGGCGGTGGTAGCGGTGGAGGTGCTGGTGGTGGTGGTAGCAGCTCACAGACTGCTCCTCGAACTGGAGAACCACAAGGGCTACCCCAACCGCCTACCTCCAACACACCTTTCCCCCTGGTTACTCACTACGATATGCCTCCAGCTTTTGTACATTTACAAGAAACCTTTCAGGTAAGGAATTTTGTGAACAATTCATTGCTTTTCTTTTTACTACCGGTTTAATCTTTCAATACGTGGAATCCAGTAGTAAAACACGTGATTTTATATGCATAGCATTTTCGATTCCCACCTTGGACTAAACGAGTTTTTCGTCCGCTTTGAGATGAAAAACTTGTCTTAAGATCGAATGGAATAAACCGTGAAATGGTTGGTGGTCTATGGTTTTGGTGTGCGGGTGGAAGTTTCTGAACGGATATAAAGCTTAACAATTTTTCGTTTGAGCCCTGAGTCGATGACTAAGCCATCTCAGAAAGTCGTGACTTTCTGTGAAGGCTTCTTTCATGGTTATCTAAGTCAAACGATCTCCTCCACCAGTATGCTAGACCGGTCCGCAGGCGCAGTTTGTGCCAGTTTCCAGGATCGTGCTGAGTAGCAACGGTGCTAGGGACCTACCACTTTGGACTGTGTCCGTCCATCGATACCATTCCAGTCTTGGAATAGGCTGATTGAACATGGACATTGGGGTCTCACGTGCCTTCGCTGTTCCTTCCCGTTTTGTTTCCCACACGGTACTCAATTTTTGAATTACCAAAAATCAAAGCCTACTGTTTTTTGAAGACCTAGCCGGGGTTACTGGGGCGTCTGACCTAAGTCAGGTATAAGAATCTTCCTATCCCTACCCACCTTCAATGCTTTGTGGTGCCTTTTCACTTGAATCTGGCGCACTCTAGGCCTCCACGAAAATTCTTGAAGTTTCCGGAGCGGTACTGTCCAGCTGTTGAAATTGCAAAATTTACTGAAAATTGCAAATTTTCGAAACTTCACTAAATTGGCATTTTTTGAAAAAATTCCTCGCTAGTTCCATTATACGCGACCCACCTCTTCCATAAATTTTGATTTTCGCACTTCTCCTTAACCTAGCTGGTCTAGACGGATGCTTGAGGCTGCTAACAACCTACGCTTACCAGGAAGGTCTTTCAGGGCGTGACAAGCTTTTTGAAAACGGTCTTTTGCATGATATAGGGGCAGATGCGGGAACCACAGAACCATGTTCAATTTTTCCTGAACGGCCCTCTGAATACCAGAAAAGGAGGTCCCTAGTTCGATTCCTCGTGGTGACAAATTTTTGCATTTCGAGTTGACGTGCCAAAATTCGCGCAAAATGGAGTTAGAACCAACCAGAACAATCAGAACTCCATTTTGCGCGAATTTTGGAACGTCAACTCGAAATGCAAAAATTTGTCACCACGAGGAATCGAACTAGGGACCCCCTTTTCTGGTATTCAGAGGGCCGTTCAGGAAAAATTAAACATGGTTCTGTGGTTCCCGCATGTGCCCCTATATCATGCAAAAGACCGTTTTCAAAAAGCTTGTCACGCCCTGAAAGACCTTCCTGGTTAGCTTCGGCGGAATATGGGTTCAACCCGCCTTACATTTGTGGGAACCTGAGTTGGTGTGGGCAAGTTTCAACTTTACAGCATAAATCAGGACAGAGATCAAAATCAGGATCAGGATTTTCCAGAACTCTGTTTACCAAATTTTTGGTCAAGCTCACTTTCCACTTCCTTTATTGGTAATTTCCCGAGAATATACATCCACCTTCCCTAAAAGTGGTTCCTTTCTCCAAAGCCAACGCTGCGAGATCCCGACCTTTTCCTGTTCATCCAAAGTTTCGTTTTTCGTTAAAATTTATGGTGACCTGGGCTGCAAAATCGACGCAGGAGGAAAGTTTTTTGAAGGAACATTTTTACATCATTACAACAAAGTTGGGCCCGTTTGAAGAAAAAAGTGCGTTCAAAGAAGGCCTTTGCCTCCGTTTTGCTCCCCTTCGTACTTCAGGGAACTTGCTTTGCTTTTTTTTGAAATAAGGGGACGCTTATACCTGTTTCCGTGAACCGTGAAGGCGTTTGGATTATAGACGTATAAGTCAGGGCTACACGTTCGGCTTAGTAATCCCTTTTCCTTACCTTGGCTGTTTCATGCCTTATTTTGTAAAGGAAAATTAAGCAGGTCATTAGCTAGTTGTCGTGTTACAGATGAGAAATCCAGCGCTCCAAATGTACTATAAACGTCGGAAAACGTTACTGGTGCTGCCGTATCCTGCCGGACCAAATCTTCCTGTAAGTTATTGAAACTTCTCGGACTTCAAATAATGGGACTGGATTAGCTTTCTCCGAATTGATATTTACAATTTCTCTGTTGGAATTGACAGCCAGAAAGTTCAATTTGCTTGTTGAATAGGCCTGAGAATTTGTGGCATGTTGTATAGGTGAACCTGGAGCTATAGGATCGTGGGGCTATCGGCTGCTACGCCATTGAAGGGTTTTGATTAAGCCCTGCTTCCGTTTCCGTGTATTCGTCGACTAGAGCAAAATGTTACGGATTTTGCTCGATTTGAGGCCCGGCCTTCATATGAAACCTTTCAATTTTTCCCTTCTTTTTTATTGAGCGTGTGGATGTTATGGTGCAATGAATGGGGAACTCGTGGTAAACTGGATTCTTCCTCGAAACATATGGCATGTGGTTTTCAAGAATTGATTTCGGGTCAATTTCAATAGTGGGAGGGGCATTTAGTACGAGAGTTCGTTAGTAATTGAGGATGTGATTTGATTTGCTTCCACTTTTACACCCACATTAGAGCTTTCTCCCATTGTAAAAATTGGAATTCCTATAGGCGCTACGGACAGGTCGCAGCACATGCCCCTCCCACTCCCCCTTCCCCTCCCCCTCATTGGGATGTATAATAGTAGACTTAGAAGAAATAATATCCATTTAACACTTTGACGACAGCGCGGGACACATACGTCCCGCACTTTCACACGGAAGAGACTTGTTTTTCCTAAATTGTGCCTCCATTTTCATGCTTCAAGACTGGCCCTTCCTACTGTTGGATACGAAAAATAGTTCTCTCGTTACCACTAATGAAATTATTGGTAATGTAGTAACTGTTAATGCAAATTTGTAAAATAAGGTGAGTAGGTTTGCGCACAAGGGCGTGTCGTCAACGTGTTAAAGATCAGCTAGGATCGGCTAGATCAGAATAGGGGAGGAATACTCTGCTTCGTGGAAATGGAAATTGCTCGCGCACCTGGACTCTTTCCCTCCCCTTCCGCACCCTTATCTTTAGCGTATTCCGTACCGCGTGCGTACCATATGGCACCCGATTTTGCACGAAAGAGCATAAGTATCTGATTTTTTTTTCATTTTTTTTCAAGTTTCTGAATTGTTTGCACTCGTCCTCAAAACAGGGAAACATACACGTCATCACTGATACAATTCTTGATCCACTTTTGAAAAATATGAAAAAGACACGAGGTACTTATAGAGGTGGGGGGTCCGCCATGTGTCAAGGACTAGCGATAGCTACTAACTTAGGCTGGGCCAACGTCAAGCTCTGGGGTGGCTGTTGAAGGGGAAGGGAACTTATTTACAAACCACGGTGATTTCCTCCCCCTGGAAAAATTGGAATTGCTGTAGACGACACGAACCACCGCACCACGTTCGCCCCTCCCCTACCCCCTTTTTGGTGTAGACTCTTGTTTTCTCTTGTTCGCGTTGTTTTTTTTTGTAATTTTTATTGTATTTGTGTATGCTATTCGTATACAGAATATCGCTCCAATGGAACCGGCAACGTTTGCGTTTTTGCCGCATACGAAACATTACGATGTAGCATATGATCGACGATATCCGACGATGAATCCGATGTCGCAAGGGCAACCACAGATGCAGAATCGGCAGCCAGCGTAAGCTCATCCATTGTGTTTGGTCTAATAAGCGATTCAGAAAAACGCCGAAATGTTTCTTATGTGCAGTCATCTGTTTGGTAGTCGCTACTTATTTAGGCCAAGCCCACAAATGATGTCACCAGCATTTACACAGCCACAACCACCAACTAAGAGCAAGGCACCACCGACCAAGAAAGCTCGAAGTGGTAAGTGTGTTGAATAGCGCTAATTTGTCAGTAAAAATGAAAGTTTTTGAGATACCATCTTTCCGATCAGAATTGTAGATGTAGCTGATGTTCGCCTGGAATCCACGATAGCTTGAGGGCCTAGTCCTTACCTAAAGGCACATTCCGCGATAGAAAAAAAGTGGTAAATGTGAGGTTTACATATGGAACAGTGAGTGCTGACTGCTTTGCCAGTTAAGCATAAAGAAGAAAGGATCACTGGAAACGCCTCAAATTAGGTCCTTTTTTCCTGGACCTTTGAAGGACTTGGGAGAAAAACATCCAAGAGGCACTGGGCGTTGAAGCGTGTGCACAACAGAGGGAGTGGGAGCATAGTGGGGAACGAAAGGGATTTACGGACTACTTGATTTTTCCTCAATGGTCCTGCCGCGATGGCTAGAGCACAGACGATTAGAGAACGGGTGAATGCCCTAGGACTAAGCCTTGGAGAGGAGAGGGACCCGCGAGAGAGCGCAGAGGCGGTTTAAAGGGCTGAGTTCAAGTAGTCCGTCGACCGAGCGAAAGGGCGACTACTGCAAATGTGGACGTGCGTAGTGTCTATATGGTTGCACGTTTTTAGTCACTAGCTCATTTTTCGCGCCTTCCAGTAGTGAAAGGGGTCCCTTGTTCGAGAACGAGGACATAGCGACCTTCTTCGTGGGAGCCATGGGTCGAATGATCTAATTGTGGAATGTGCCAGTGGTTTTATACTTGTAGAAAGCGACTCACCAACGATGTGGGGCCGAGCGGATTTTGATCCAAGAGGTGGTGTAGGTCGCTAGCGTCGTCTAGGCCACCGCCTTACCTGTATAAAAAGCTAGCGTCACCAGACCTGATCGATTCCTCCTGGTATGTAGCTCGTCTGTAGGTTCCTGATGTTCAACGTGATATTCAAACGAATAGAGATCCTGTTAAAAGCCTGCAAAATGTAGTATTTGGAGCTTTGATGTTTCGCAGCACGCCATTCGCAGTTCTTCCGTTAACGTGTGCTCAAAATGATTCAGTAATGCGGTCAAAGTATTCATCTTTGAAATTCAGATTCAACCGATGGCGGCTTTCCTGGAATGTCTGGTGGAGCTCCTGGAGGAGGTGGAGGAGGAGGTGGCGGCGGTGGTGGCGGGGGTGGAGGTGCTGGCAGTGGTATGATGATGGTACCAGGCTGTATGACAGGACCACCACGCCATATGCAACCGATGCCACCCGATATGTCGCACTATGGTGGCGTACCGACGTCACAAATGGGCATGAATCCGGCTGGCATGCCATACTACCCTGGTATGTCACCAAACACCGTGCCAACAAGTTCCTCAGCATCAGCCGGTGGCGGACCTTCCATGGGTATGCCAAACGGGATGTATCCCATGGGCAACGTGCCCCACAGTGCAGCAGCGTCAATGAATATGGCCAGGTTGCAGGATATGTCTCAACAAGTCAATGATAATAGTAAGTAAATTATTTACTGTTAAAATTTATGCTTATTTTTTATAGAACATTAATTTTGTGGTTAGGTTTGAAAACGTCAACCATGGGGTTACTTTTAAGGATCACAACAAGTTCCTGTGTCTGGTGTATATCAGAATATGTCCAATGGACAGATGTCATCTGGTGATCAGCAATCGCTCAGCAGCCCTAGAAATCAGGTTCCTTTCTTGTTATTTTGTTCAGTGTTATTCACCACAAAATTGTCTGTGTTTACTTGAAAAAACGCTTATTTTCAGATGACTCAAAATCCATATCAACAATCAGGAAACCAATTCGACATATCTCCTCAATGTCCCAAGTGCCTGTGTCTTGTTTCGGTGAGCTCGGGCTTAATTTTTCATTTTCTGGATGTTGGACGGGTTCGTATATGTTCGATAGCTTATTTGCAGTGTTTCAGAAAATATTACCTTTCAATCCCCAATCCATCTTTGCTACCCTTCTTTTTTAATAGCTTCTCGTTCCAAGCAAATTGCTCCTCGAGCCTAGGTGTGGAATTAGATGGATACCAAGCGCCTTGTGCAGAGGGTATCAAGGCAGCGTCTAGAGGAGTTCAGAAGAGGCGTAGGGGTATTCAATGGTATGCTAGCAGCGAAAAAAAAGCAGAGACATCCATTATGAAACCGCAAAACGGGACGTTCCTATTTGGCCGCTGATTTTCTCTCATGGATGGGCAACGGCTAAGTCGGCGATGGATGGCCGAGTTTACTGCAAACGTTTGGTGGCACTATGCCGATCCATGTCGAGTCCAGTCGAGTTGCTTCAGGTGTGCCGCGCTGGCCCCAGCTCATCCAAATTACAAACTAAACTAGCGGGTGGGGCTCTCAAGGGGCGGGGCGGTTTTTAGGTATGTCAGCAACCAGCGGCCCTTTCGTCGTGGAAGCGCTACACTCCACTTAAATCCCAGCCGTTACTGCTTCGTGTGACACCCATACTTCTCCAATGTGTTGCTTATTTACCGTAATGGCTTCCTTTAAAGGATGCTCCGAGATTAGGCACGCTCGCCTGTTCCATCCCGGGGTAGTAGACAGGCGTTGATGTCGCGCCCCTTTTGCCGCTTGAAAGTGCGCGACAAAGGCGCAAGGAGCTCGTCCGACCCGCAACTCACACCTTCGTCCGCAAGCCCCACCCTCCGCTGTCGGTTGCGCTGCTTGAAAAGCGCGGGCGCATTTGAGGCAGCGGTCCCATTGCGATCCAATGTCATTGGCACTGGAGCAACTAGAGTTAGGTTCGTGAAACTCGTCCAACGCGCCCCTTCTCTATCCCAAGGTGGAATGCGGCTGAAATAGGGGAGGTCTCTGTGCGGGGCGTAATCGGTGGTTTCGTTTGCTTTCCTTCTCTTTTCCAGACCACCTCCCACCTCTAGCTTCATAACTGAACGCTTTTCCACACCTATTTTATCCCGAATCTTGCCTTTAGGTATGGTCTTGAGCCCTGGCAGACCAGCCTGTGGCTGGTTTTCTATGTTCCGCTCCAGGTCGCCATGACTCTTTTCAGCACGACTGGATTTAACGAGTTTTCTTGAATTGAAAGATCTCCAATGAACACATAATCTAGTTGGCATACGCCACGCCTATGTTTTTTTTTTCGAAGTGTTGTGATAGCCAAATTATGTGTGGGGAAGTGCTGATGCAAGGCCTCCCCAGAGGTGTCTGTTACCATCTACGCGAAGGGTTGAGGAGGTTGGTTTAGTTAGCGTAATTCAGGCTCGGTCTCACGGCGCAGTAGAAACAATAAGCACCCCCCTATTCTTGCCACCGCTGCCTCATTCTGAAACTATTATTCAACTGTACTGCTTTCACTAAATAGTTTCGATCGTCATTTGCATGAAAGATTCACCTGTTGTGTAAAGTGCTCTCTATACTTAAGATGATGTTTTCAGCCTACCAATCGCTCCGTACAATGCAACGGCCCGTGCATGCGCTTGTTTCATCAGGTAACTTACTTGTCGAACTTTCTTGGTATTCTATTATAGATATTTCGTCTCTTAATGATACTAGATTGCACTGATATACTGATACTACATATTTCTGGGCTATTCTTCGAAAAAAGTCGTTCTGAAATTTTCTTGGTGATGAACAAATAGATTTGTCGTTTCTATTGAATGAAGAAGCTTTTGAGATTCAAAAGCACATGGCGCGATAAATAGAATGCCGAAGTAGAGAAAAGCTGCCTGCTGTGAAGGGAGACTGATCTCTGAGGGAATGAGACAGACACAGCTTTCGCGGAACGGCACGCTCGGGTTGCGATGTGTCAATTTGCCCCCTCAAAACGTCTTCGTGCCTCTGCTCGCCCAACGAATGGCTCCCTACAACTGGTCCTTTGGTGTGAGATTCTAGCCCTTTTGACTGGATTGCAGCGCAATGCGTTTACGTTGGTGGTGGCAGCTATTTTTTTATTGTCTCCAATACTGCACATCTTAGTGGCTCAGGTTTCATTTCCGATAGACAACCATTTTATCGTACTCTGTGCCTGACAAAATAATTTTCATATCGGTGGCATGCCACTGTATGCCTTCAAGCCAATCTGTTGCCTCTATTTTGGAGGGCTACGTGAAAGGCAAGCCTATCGATCTATGTTTTGCTCTACTTAGCTTATGAGTTGCCCTACTCCTTAATCTGCGTGTTGTTGACGGAAGTTTGCTCCATAGAGCATCTAGTCGCTGTAAATTTCCCGTTTGGTAGTTTTTTGATGGACCGTTGACGTTCTGAGCTAGTCTGGGGTTGGTGTAATAGAGTAGCGCTTCTAATTTAATGGGTTTCACACACATGGGCTCCTTATGGTTAAACCCAATTGTGGCGAGTGATCGATTTAGGACAAACCCCGCCCTTTTATTCATGTCGACAGAGTCACTGAGCCTGGTTCAATCTGACACATTCTGGCTCCGCCCCAAATATCAAACGTACGTTGCAGATAGCGGGAGGGGTATAAATATACTGTTTAATGAGCAAAACTTGAAAGTTTCAAGGTCCCTCTCAGTTTCATTGAAATTCCGCAAAATTTTTTTATACATCTCAAAAATTCAGAATTTTATTCATCCTAGGCGAGAAATCTGCCTTTATTCGCCAAATGCGACATGCCACCTCCAACTCACAAAATACACCCTCCTCGTTCTCACTCGGATAGACTGACAGCCGCCTTTGGTGTAGAAGCTCCAGCAGTCGGGATAGAGTAGCCCACGAGTATCACGATGTCCGTTCTTTCGACTCGAAAGTGCGCGACAACGGCACTAGGGCTTCACAAAGTGAGCTTATGGCGGCTAATGTGAGCTTACGGACGAGATACCTCGTGCACACCCCATGACACGCAGCGTGGATTACGGCGTAGCGGCTAATTCAAATACGCGCGGGTTAGTGGAGCCATGGAGCAAGCAAGTTCAGAAAACTCGTCCGGCCCGCCCCTTCCTTATTTCAAGGAGGAAGAGAGGGAATACTTGTAAATGGCTTCATCGACGGTTGGGTTCTTTTTTATTCAGTCGGTTCGGCAGTCACAATTTTATTATCGACCGCTGCTACCCCACCAATTCGATCTTGGGTTGTTGCTTTTATGAACACGTGTGCTTTTCAGAACTGTACTGGTCTGCTTCCACGAGCGTTCGCATTACTGGAAGAAGATCCGAGTGCAAAGTGGGTATGTGGCGCATGTGAATCATCGGTTCTGTGAGTGTTTAAGACGGGCGTGGTTCATCGTCCATGATGTGATCTTCTGAATAGATCTTCTTAAAGCGTTATTCCCTTACTCCAAACTAACCAAACGGACTACATTTTGAAACACATAATTTTTCTTACTCTCAGTTTTCCTCCCAGTGCATCTTATGTATTTAATGAATGAGATCTGCTCTGTATAACTGCCAGAATTTTGCTTTTTTTAACTCTGATTTCGTTCCTTTTTTATTCTTTCCTATTGAAGGCTTTTGTGAAATGGTGACAATTATCTCTGTCTGCATTGTTTTTTTTTTCTTTTTTCTTGTCCTTCTCTGTTCTTATTCATTCCACTGTTGATTTTTTAGTAGTCACTTGTAATATGAATTTTGTCACACGCAGTAACATCCGTACCCCTGCCGTTTTTCATTTTTCCCGTTACGGTAGTCCGTCGTATCCCTAGTGAAGCCCAGAGAAGTTTCCTGCGTTTTATTGCTGTGTTAGCCAGTTGTGTCTTTCCTACGTCACGTACTACGTTCGTTAGAGAATTGAATCGGGTCATCTTTTCAGAGCAACAAAGAAAACACCCCATACCACTTAAAAATTGTTCATTGTGCAAGCTTTCGGTTGTTGCATTTGTCGAAGTCTGTTCATCATTTCTGTTGCATGTGTGTAAAAACTGATGATATTTATACATCCATTTGTGAAACAATCCGGGCGACTTATACATACTTGTGTAGGTATCGAATGTATTTATGTATTCTTTTGAAAAAAAAACAACCGAAATTTATAGGTCGATAAAGTATTGGCACATATTCATCTGTTTTAACAAGTCCGGAGTCCATTTTTGAAGCAAATCACGATGGCCAGATCTGAAAACGGAGAAATGGTCTCTGGTGGTAGTGTGGACCAAGTATTGGGTTGGAGCATAATATCGTAGCGCTTGCATTTTTCATTTCTTCACACAAACGTTTGAAGCAAAAAATAAAAACATAAAACTAATCAGTGATGTTCACTTCGTCATTATTTACAACTTTGATTGCATTTCGCAAGAGATCACCGGATATAGAATTTGAAAAATATATAGAGCTAGTTTTCGGAGGCAGATTCGGGTAAAGCGAGGTTCGATTAGAGCAATGAATTTTTTCGGAACTTCCAATTTGGCATTTTTTCTTCTTTATTTAGATCTTAGAATAGCAGCTGTCGAAACACCGATTTTCGCCGTCCGAATTTTCCAACTTCTAAGCTCTATACCTGAGTACAGCTACAATTTTGAAGAAATGACAACTACGGTTTTGTAGAGCGGGAAAAGTACTTTCAAATAATATGAGCCGCTTTTCGGTTAATACTTGTACTGAATTAATTTGTGCGCTCGAAAAAAAAAACGCTACGATATTATGCTCCAACCCAATAGTGAACAACCGAAAACCCCGATATGGATAGAATAGAAGGAGTCCTGCAATCAACGGTGCTTCAGGACGCTCAAATTCCCTGCAGCGCGTGGTGTGCGATGAAGGACGTAAGGATGTGCGATGTAGGACGTGCACGGGACACTCTATTTAACTTGACGCGAAATCCCTATAGTACGCGCGCGACTCGTCCGCTGACTTTGCCTTCTTGCCGCGCGACGGGCCTCCTGGGGGGTACCCAAATTCCACTCGTGTAGAACAATGAAGATGCTTACGATGCTCTAAGCGAGTAGCGGCCTATAGGAGAGAGTCATGAGAGTTAGCATTACTCGATCGAGATGCGAATGCTGACATTGGCTAGCGGTTCAGTGCGTTAAATCGCGTTGGCCTTTACTACGGGTCCAGGGTCGGATGCAGGGCGTTGAGGAATTCCTCGACCGTGTGCAAGAGTAGAGCCGATAGTGAATGTACGCGCGGAGAGCACAGACGGCTCGCGGGTGGCGAGAGTGAATATCCGCGCGCGAGAACGTAAAGGATCAGGCGAAAATCCTCGACGTGCCGTTGAGGAATCCTCGAAGCAGTATTCACCCTGGTCGGATGTCGAAAATTTTGTTTTTCATTTTCATTTTTACTGGTCGTTTTTTGCGCTACGCCTGAACAGAATTGATTATGATAAAGTACCTTGAACATTTCAGTACAGAATGTGGAGATGGTACGGATTTGTGCCAAATGAAGTACTTATTAGATAGATTTGTGGAGACCACACAGAGTCAAATGCGGACGTAATGCAGTCGTTTAGAGTCACCGCCAAGTGAAAGCGTGATAACAGAGATTGCAATGGTTTGGATTGGCATAGGGAAGGTCGCAAGATCACCCACATTGAAAACACCGTTCTTCGATGTTCACGGCAGGCAGTCACCCTCAAGAGCTATGTCATGAAGAAGGACCTTGGAGCACCGGCAGAAGATGGCCTGGATAGAAGGAAGAAGCGGATTGTAATGAGAACTGCGGTCTCTGCGACACCGCTCGAGACTAACACTTGGGGTAATAAAAAAAACTGAGATTGGTGGAGCCTCATACGGTTCAGCGAATGTGACTTCCGTTTTTCGACTCTCGATAACTAAAGACTTCCGAAGTCTAATGCACAAAACCGGAAAGGATTGAGCGCCTGTGGATGTGTTAGTAAAGCAATGTAAACAAGGGTGATTCTAATCGCGAGAGATGGTCAGACTTTAGCACACGCATGCACGTGTAGAAAGACTGTTTCATCTTACTTTTTTATTAGTACAACATATCTGCTTTCTTGGCGACAAGAGTTCAGAATTTTACCATCTCCATTCGGAGTTTCCTTCAGAAATTCCGCAAAAAATCGTTCGAGAATCTCCAGAATTTACATCGAGGAAGAAATAATCCTACCAGGCTCACAAGACCAAAAAGCATTAAGCTTTTGGAGTGATCAATCCCATCTTGGGATGCGGCACGCATTCTACTTCCATTTGCACGTTCGTAGTGGCTTTTAAGGGGGGGGGGAGGCGGGTATGTGGCCTACACAAGGACATGCGGGGCGCATGTACAAAAAACAAAAGAAAAGAAAAAAGACAATTCTGGTACCAATTACCCGACCCGGGAGGGATAAGGCTTGGTTGGCCCGGACGGAAGCAGGCCCACTAGCCCCTTTTACTAGCTTTACAACGTGCATTAATTCTTCATGGATGCTTGGCGCTGGGGCTTCGTTGCCTCACTGCGCGCGTGGCGCTTGTCGATGCGAAACCGGTTTGAGAACTTAATTGTGGTGCCTGTCCCGCAATAGCAACGCCGACCGTCTCATTGCTGGACATCTGAAAGAACGAGCCAGTAACGGCTACCTACTTTCAAGAATATTGCCCATTTCGTTAACGCGCGGACAAGGGAAAATATATTATGGGTAGAACGGCCATTCAGCATACGATATCCCTGTATAAGTGCCGAGACACTGAGTTCAATTTAGCTCTGTTATTTGCGGAACTACATATTTTCGATAGAAGTTATGGAGCAGGAAAGCGCACCTGTAGTGAGCCTGACTCACAGGGAACAGGTCGTGGGAACGACGCCAGTGCGAGTCCGTTGGTTTTGCCTTCTCAGAAATTCGGCCATAAAGTCATAACATAGTTCTGAAAGAAGCGAATGTTCGAACTCGCATTGCTGCTGATCTCAATTCTTGCCTGTGAGTCAGGGTCACTACCGCTGCTTTCCTGCTTCATAACTTCTTTCAGGTTTCACTCGCAGACAAGGGAAGCTCGTGTGGCTCAGCGCCTCGAGCAACGGCATATAGGTACACACATCTCATTTCAGACGAAGAGACTAAACAGTTAATCTTACCTGGTGAGGACTAAGATGGCGATCTGTACTTTCAACGCACGAACGCTTGCATCCGAAGCTCACATCGAAGATCTGATGATGCAGGCCAGGAAGATCAAGTACGACGTCATCGGACTGACCGAGACGAGAAGGCACCGCCCGCTACACGCCGTTTTCGATACTGGAGAAGAACTGTTCCTTGGAACATGCGACAGCAGAGGCGTTGGCGGTGTGGGTGTCCTCGTCAACACGCACTTGGCCATAAACATCGATTCGTACGAAAGCCTTACGACCCGAATCGGACGTTTGAGATTGAGAAGATGTGGTTCAACTCCTGCTTTGACAATCTTCGTCGCCTACGCACCAACATCGAGCTACGACGAGGAGGAACACGAAGCATTTTATATGGAATTGGAGAAGTTCTACAAGGAAGACCATACCTTCTTCAAGGTCATCGTCGGCGACTTCAACGCCAAGATTGGCCCGAGAAGAACGGCTGAAGAACTTCACATCGGTACTCACGGAATGGATTGGAATGAGCAGGGCGAAAGACTGTCTGAGTTTATCATGTCGACCAACACCATCCATGGTAACTCGCAGTTCCAGAGAAGTTCGTTTCGTTTTCGTTCTTCGTTGGACATGGGAGTCACCCTGATGGACCGTTCCATAACGAGATGGGAAGACATGGTAGTGAAGGTCGACGGCCGGCAACTACACCACCATCGTTTTGCTGACGACGTCGTTCTTATAACGCCGAACATCGAGCAAGCGGAGCGAATGCTGCGCCTGTGGTAAGGTTGGTCTACAGCTGAACCTAACGAAGACGATGTAAGAGAAACGAGATTTGAGGTCGGCGATGCCCCATTCACCCATCACACGAACATACCATCGCAATGCCCAGGAACCGTGAACCTAGTTCGGGAATCAACTATGACGAACGATCTAAGCTCCCCAGCCGCTGATCAGGAGAAACGACGTTTGGAGCGTCAAACATCGAGGGAGTAGTGAAGAAGACGAAGAACATCCGGCTCCGTGCCCACCTCTTCGATTATGCAGTCCTTCCTGCCTTAACATACGCCTCAGAGACTTGGACTCTGCGCAGGCAGGACGAGCATGCGGTCACACCGTTATCCAACGCGCCTAGGAGTAACCCTATACGCGCAAATGCAGAGGGGAATCCGAGTGCCGAACTACGCCAACGAACGATCGAAGATCAGGGACGCTGCCGTTTTCGCCAAGGAATCGAAGATAAGGTGGGCCGGACACGTCATGCGAT